GCAAATGACTCGATGGCACATAACAATAACAACAACAACTGCTTCCAAGCTTGTTCTAATCAGGGAGTTCCACCAAACACTGTCCACACTGGGTAACCATTATCACATTTGACACATCAGTGTCACAGTGTTCAGCTTCACAGCAACCACGAGTTGCCTCTGTACAGCAAGTGGACAGACCAGGGCTATATGGCCTAGAAGAATGTTTGAACAAAAACAATTAAAAACAGGCCTGGGGGCCGCAGATTAAAGTCACCCACTTTTGGTTTGGTAGCATCAATTTCTGTCCACAAGACCAACTGATCTCTCTCTACAATTGGTAACATAAATTTTAAAAGTAATAAAAGTAAAATAATAACAGCAAATCTGTAAAAATACAAACCTGAGGTATATTCGATAGATTCCAAGACTGTTTCTTTTCCTTTTCCCGAGCAACTTTTGAGTAGCTCTATATCATTCCTAACAGTGGATGGATTTAAATGTATTTCTCTGAAATAAATGTTTAAAAATTAAGTTTATGCAAAACTCATTTCCAGGGAATTAGACCCTTCATGGTGTTTCTGCTGGTAATATACCCCAAGGAAAATAGCACTGAGACACAATTGGAGATTTGTACACCTATGTTCACAGCAGCATTATTCATAATTTAAAGAAAATAGAAACAGCCCAAATGTCCTCAATTCACTTTATAAAACACTTCTTGTTCCAGATTGTAAATTGTAATACATATAATGCCCAATCATGCATTCCTTTCAGACAATTCTTTCCTTCATCTGTTCCATTGCAATGTTAATTATCCATCTATTCTTTTTTCTGTTCCACACTTTCCCCACCCCACGGGGTCAATTTTATTTTATAAAAGGGGTATTATGCAGTGTTTGTCCTTTAGGGATTGAGATATTTCATTTAGTATAGCATGTTGTGTAAAGTTGTACAAGTCCATTGTTTTTCACTGCTGTATAATATGCCATTGCGTGAACATACCACAGTTGAGAGACATTTGGGCTGCTTCCATCTCTTTGCTATTGTGACTGATGGAGAATTTACATGGGTGTGGATACATCCGTGTCATGATCTTATTTTTTTAGGGTATGTTTCCAGTTGTGGTATAGCTGGGTCAAATGGTAGGTGTTTCCAACTTTTTTCCCCTTTTAAAATTGAGATTTTAAAGAAACTTTATAAAGAGCTTGGGTTTCCATTCATTCATTGTTGCAAATTTTCCTCCTGTCCCCCTCCCCCAGTTCACTTTTTTCTTTGGACAAAAGTTATTTCATTGTTATACAGTCCTGTTCCCTCACCCCCACCCCCACCCCAGACCACTTTACTATGTAGCTCTTATTCTGGACTCTTGCCATGCCAATAATACCTAGTATTTTTTGTACAATTCTCTCCCTCATCTGTTTCAATGCAGTGTACATTATTTATCCCCTCTTTTCTTAATTTCCTCCAACCCCCATGTCAGTCCTGTTTTATAACAGTGGCATTGTGCAGTATTTGTCTTTTTGTGATGGAGATATTTCACTCAGCATAATGTCCTTCATGGCTACCCATTTTGTATATTATTTCATGAGTTCTTTGTTTTTTAGTGCTGTATAGTATTCCATTATGTGAATATACCACAGCTTTCTATTCCAACATTTTGAGAAAGGGCTAAACAGCCTCTCATAGTGGTTTTCCCATTTTACATTCCCATCAGCTGTAAATAAGAATTCCAGTCTTTCCACCTCCTCGCCAGCATTTGTTATTTGTTGCCCTATTAAATGTTGCTATTGTTGTCGGGGTGAGATGATATTGCATTATTGTTTTGACTTACATCTCTCTGGTAGCTAGATAATTTTAACATTTCTTCATGCGTTTGTTGACCATCTGAATTTTTTTCTTGAGTGAACTATCTATTCAGATCTTGTGCCAATTTTGTGACTGAATTGTTTGCCTTTTTTTTGTTGAGATCCTGGAGTTTCTATAAATTTTAAATATGAGTTCCTTAGGAGATATGTCATTGCCAAATATATTTTCCCAGTCTGCTGGTATACATTTATCTTGTTGGAGAAGATTTTTAGAAGGTCTAGTTCATCTATTTTATCCTCTCCTATAAGCTTTTTCATTGTGCTTGAAAGTCTGTTCATGCTATAGATTAGTGCTTCTGGAGTTGTTCCTACTTTTTTCTTTGATCAATTTCATAGTCTTAGGTTTTATTCCTAGGTCCTTGATCCACCTTGAGTTGGTTTTTGTGTATGGTGTGAGATGTAAGTCATGTTTTAGTTTTTCTGCAGACGGCTTTCCAACTTTGCCAGCACCATTTGTTAAAGAGGCTATCGTTTCCCCACTTAACTGATTTCTAGGGAAAAAAGCAAATCCTCACATTTATCTTCCAAATATTATTATTGTTATGTGCCATTAACTTGCCTGCATCTCATAGCGACCCTATGTACCACAGCTATGAACCCTGCTCTATCCTGAGCCAACCTTATTATCTCTACTAACTCCATTACCCCAGTTACTGAGTCAATTCATCTCATCAAGGTCTTTCCCTCCTGTGCTATCCTTCCACCCTCCCAAGCATAATGTCCCTTTCTAAGTACTGGTTCTTGCAACATACATAAAGAATGTCAGATGGGGATTCAGAATCTTTGCCTCCAAGGAACAATCTGGTTTCACCCTCTCCAGGACAAAGCTGTTTGTTCTTCTAGCAGTCTACGGTATATTCAATACTCTTCTCCAACACCACAGCTCAAGGCATAAAATTCTTCTTCTACCATTCCTAGTCATTGTATATATTTTAAAACCTTAAGTGTATATTTTTATTTTGAATGTTTGTTTTGCCAAATCTAATGTATACAGATTTGTTCTTTCATTGTCTTTTTTATTAGGTTATTTTCATCTCCTTGTCAAAAATCAGTTGACCATTGGTAGATGAGTTGATTTCTGGGTTATTCTATTCTATTCTATTCTATTCTATTCTATTCTATTCTATTCTATTCTATTCTATTCTATTCTATTCCCTTTATCTATGTGTCTGTCACTGTAGCAGTACCATGCTGTCTTGACCACCATACCACAGCTGCATAGTAGGATTTGTGATCAAAGAATATGATGTCTCCTACCTTGTTTCTTTTTTTAATTGGTGCTTTGCTTATTTGGATGCTCTTTCTATTCCAGACAAAATTAGAAACCACCTTTTCCATCTCAATGAAGAACAGAATTGGTATATGTATTGGGATTGCATTGAACTTGTAGTTTGCTTTTAGTAGAATGTCATTTACATAATATTGAGTCTATCAAAGACCATTGTATATTCTTCCATTTCTTCAGGCCTCTTTATTCTTGCTGTCATGTTTTGTAATTTTCTTTGAGTCTTTGAGTCTTTAGTTAGGTTTTATTTTAAGCATTTAATCTTGTGATTAGCTGTTGTAATTGGTATTGTTTTTCTTAGCTCCTTTTCTATACCTTTTTGTTATTGTAGAGAAATCTAACTGATTTCTGTATGTTGATCTTATTACTTTGCTAAATTGGTCAACTATGTCCAATAGTTTTCTTGCTGAATCTTTATTGTTTTCTGAGTATAATGTAATATTATCTGCTTACCGAGATAGTCTTACCTCCTCTTTGCCAATTTGGATTCCTCTATTTTCCTTCTCTTGCCTTATTGGTCTAAGATTCACAATGCAATATTGAATAGAGTGGTAATTGTGAACATCCTTGCTTAGTTCCTGTTCTCAAGAGGAATGCCTTTAATTCCTTTTCACTGATAATGATGTTGGCTCTTGGTTTTGTATATGTACTTTTTCACTATGTTGAAGAAATTCCCCTCTATTCCTATTTTGTTGAGTGTTGTGTTTTTGTTTTTTTTTTTTAATAATGAAAGGATATTGGATTTTGTCAAAGACCTTTTTTGCATCAATTGATAGGATCATGTGGTTCTTTGCTTTCTTTGTTAATGTGGTGAGTTACATTAATTGCTTTTCTTATGTTGAACCATCCTTGCATACCTGTTATGAATCCCACTTGGTCATGATGAATTGGGTTTTTTTATGTACTATTGAATATTATTGGCCAGGATTTTGTTAATTTTTGTGTCTATGTTCATGAGAGATATTGGTCTATAGTTTTCTATTTTGATAGTGCTTTTACCTGACTTTGTTATTAGTGTTACGATTGCTTCATAGAGTGACTCCGAGAGTATTGCAACTTTTTCTATTTTCTTAAATACTTTATGTAGAATTGGTGACAGCTCTTCTCTAACTAAATGTTTGGTAAAATTTGCTAGTAAAACCATCTGTTCCACAAAGGTTTCTTTATTAGAAGTTATTTTATGACCTATTCCATTCTTTTGTGATAGGCCTTTTCAGGTGTTCTACTTCAGTCCATGTCAGTTTGGGTGGGTTATGTGTTTCTATTTGTTTACATTTCCTCTAGGTTTTCATGTTTGCTTGAAAAGAGTGGTAATGTTGTTGTAGTTTTTGTTAAGTGCCATCAAGTCATAGACAACTCATAGCAACCCTATAAAAGAAAGACCTAAACACTTGTATTACTTTCATCATTTCTCCAAGTTCATAGAGTTTCCAGAGGCAAGCTATTTTGGAAGTGGATGATACTCCTGCTTCTCCTCCAAACTCTGTCCACCATGGGTAACCATTATTGCATTTGACACATCAGTGTCACAGTATTTAGCATCACAACAACCACGAGTTACCTCTGCTATACCACTTGGAAGACTGCTTGACCAAAAACAATTAAAACCAGGCCTGAGAGCTATAGATTAAAATCACCCACCTTTGACTTGGTAGCATCACTTTCTGTCCACTAAACCAACAGATCTCTCTCTATGTAATTGTTGTTGTTGTTAAGTGCCATCAAGTCATAGATGACTCATAACGACTCTATGAACAAAAGACCTGAACACTTGTATAACTTTCATTGTTTCTCCAAGTTCATAGAGTTTCTGGAGACAAGCTATTTCATAAGTGGTTACCAGTCCTGTTTGCAAGCTTGTTTTAATCGGGAAGCTCCATCAAACACTGTCAACCATAGATAATCATTATCATATTTGACACATCAGGGTCACCATGTTTAGCATCTTTTTCTTTGAAGAGTTGTAATAAAATTCCATTATTAATATTTTTCATTTTAGTTAGTTCTGTTGTAGAATAACCCCTTTCATCTCTTATTTTGTTTATTTGTGGTTTATCTTTCTTTTCTTTTATTAGCTTTGCTATTCGTTTGTCTATTTAATTGACCTTTTCAAAGAATCAACTCCTAGTCTTGTTGATAGTTTCAATTGTTTTTCTATTTTCTATTTTGTTAATTTATTTCCTAATATTTATTTCTATCCTTTGTTTAGGAGCTTGTTGATTTTTCTGACTGTTCTTGTTCTATTTTTTTGAGATCTTAGGTTAAGTAGGCAATTTTCATTTCTTCTTACTTTTTGATGTTTTTGCTTATTGCTATGAGTTGATCTCTTAAGTATTGTTTTGGCCAGAGGTTTTGGTAAGCTGTATTTTCATTCTCATTTGTTTCAAGAAACTTTTTTATTTCTTCTATTACCCACTCATGTTCAAGCAGGATGATGTTCAGCTTCCAGGTGCATGGGGTTTTTCTCCATTATTCTCTTCTTGTTGATTTCTAATTTTGTAGCATTGTGGTCTGAGAAAATACTTTGTATTATTTTGACATTTTTTTTAATTTATTGACTCTTTTTTGTGACCTAAATATGATCTCTTCTGGAGAATGTTCTATGTTCACTGGAGAAGAATAACTGCTGAGCCTTTTTAGGATGCATTGGCCTGCATATATCATGAGATTGAGTTGGTTAATTGTATATTTTCACTCCTCAGGATCTTTGTGAGTTTCTTTCTGGTCATCCTATCTTTCCTTGAGAATATTGTATTGAAGTCTCTTACTACTATCATGGTGGTGCTTATTTCTTTTTTCAGTAATATTAATGTTTGCTTTGTATATTTTGCAGCACTATCATTAGATGTTTAGATATTTATTATGGTTATATCCTTTTTATTTATTGACCCTTTAAGCAGTATATAATGTCCTTTCTTATCCTTTGGGATGGTTTTTACCCTGAAATCTAGTTTCTTGAATATTAATATTTCTACTTTGGATTTTTCTGGTTTCTATTTGATTGGTATGTTGTTTTTTTTCTTCACCCTTTTTATTCTGTCTTTATCTTTACTTTCTAAGTGTGCCTCTTACAGATAGCATATTGATGGGTTTGGGTTTGTTTTGGTTTTTTTATCCAATCTACCACTCTTTTTCTCTTCACTAGTAGATTTAAACCATTGAGTGTAATTATTGACAGGCAAAGTTTTCTTGCTATCCTTTTGTTGGGTTCTTTTTGTTTTTGGTGATAGTTACTTTGATCCATACATTTTTCTGTGCTGTCTCTATGGGAAAGACTTCCTTTACCATTTCCCCCCCAATATTGATCTTGTTTTCACAAACTTCCTTAGTTTCTGCTTTTCTAACAATATCTTGATTTCTCTAACATGTCACAGGCTGTTTTATGGGTACACTATTCTTGGTTGACAGTTGTGTTCTTTGAGTGTTTTATATATGTCATTCCACTATCTTCTGGCTTGCATGGTTTCTGCTGAGAAACTGGCACTTAATCTTATTTGCTCTCCTTAATAGGTAACTATTTGTTTTCCCCTAGGGGCTTTCAGAATTCTCTCCTTGTCTTTGATTCTGTCAAATTTGGCTGTGATATGCCTTGGCTTTTTTCTTTTGGGTTCTACTCTATATTGTGTTTGCTCAGCTTCTTGTATGTATATTCTCTCACTCTTTATGATACCTGGAAAGTTTTCTTCTAGTAACTCCTCCAATATTTTTTCTTCCTGTTCTGGAATTCCAGGTATGCACATGTTATTCCTCTTGGTGGTGTATCACATTATTCTTAGGGTTTCTTCATTTTTCTTCCTTTTTTATTTTGCTTTTTGTAGGAGCTCTGGTGGCCTAGTGATAAGAAGCTGTGCTGCAATCCTGAAGGCACACAGTTTGAATCCACCAGATGCTCTTCTGGAGAAAAATGAGCAGTCTCCTCCTATGTGATTTACTGCCTCTGAAAAACCTACTAGAGGGTCAGCTTTTGGTTCTGACTGGAGGGCACATAGCAACAACTACTAACAGGTAAGATAAACTGAGAACACTATCTTCTGTTTCACAGATTCTATGCAGTTTCTCTTCATTTCTGCTCATCTGTCCCTCCAACATACATGTTGACAGAGTTAGTGGCACTGGTCCTAATGTTTTGGATTGTGGTTTCTTGGCTTTCTATTGCCTCATTGGTTTTATCTACATTGTCTTGAATTACATTTTAAAGTTCCTGTTGGTTTTTTCTTATAGAATCCAAAAATTCTTTGAGTTGTTCTTTTACCCATTGAAAATAACTTGACCAATGTTCTTTGAATTCTGTGGCAGAAAGTTCAATCAGACTTTCCACCTTCAGTAAATCCATTGATTCTGTTTTGATCACTTTTTTTTTGGGGGGGGGCAATATCTTGCTTTGGTTTCATGTGAGGGATGAGATTGTTTTCTTTAATGTCATTTGCCTGATATCCTAGCAGGTCCTGTGTCTGGTGACCTTGGCTGGGGACCTAGTGCCCCAGAAGAGGGGAGGGCAACTCTGCCTGAAGGCTTCTTTGGTCCCTGGGCTCAGTGCAAGACTTGCCTCAACTGGGGAACTCAACACTCTAGGTAAGGGGAAGGCAACTCACCCTGCTTCAGGTCCTTCCTTTCTGGTTCTGTAGCAAAGGTTGCTGGGGCTAGGGAGCCTATCAGGAAGAGAACTTACCCTGCTTCTGGTCTTTTCTCTCTGGTCCCCCTGCTTGTAGGAATGTTCATGGGCTGGAGAACCCACAGGGGATAAAACCTCTCTGCCCATATCCCAGGACTGGTGAGAACGTTTGCTCTGGTTGCAGAGGCTCCTGGGAAAGGAACCTTTCTGGCCTTTTCTGAGTGCTAGTTCACCTGAAGGAGAACCCTGCTTCTTTTCCTTCCTTTCTGCCCTCCCTGCATCTATCCCTTTCTCTCTAATCCCATGGCAAAGTTCTCTGTGACTGAGGAGCCTACCAGGAAAGGAAGCCCCTCTGCCTCTGTCTGGGGATTGAAGGAGAATTCACCTTGTTTCTGTTCCTTCTATCTGGTTCCCTAGCAAAGTTTGCTGTGGCTGGGGAGCCCTGGTGGGAAACTCTCAAATCTATTCTTGAGTTGGTTTTTAAATTCATTTGGGATAGACTTAAGGTCATGTTTTGACTAGATGGATGGTCACAGTGAATGGGCTTGAACATCGCAGGGATGATGAGAATGGCACAAGTTTAGGCAGGGTTCCAATCTGTCATCATTGAGTTGCTGTGAGTTGCAGCTGATTTGATGGCACATAATAGCAACATATTTGCATGAAAATTTAATAATCTATATAGTATTCTTAAAGAACAAGGGCACTTAATGTCTTTAGAATTAGATGAAACTCCACTAAAATGTTTTGACATGATGGTTACTATAACTCTTAATCTTTAAAACGATAACTATCAAAAACCCCCACAAATTTGCCTACACATTTGCTCCAGCAAAATTTAGTGTTAAATCAACAACAAAACATCTACATTATTTTTAATGTGCTTTTTATCTCAAACACTGACAGGAAATTTTATAACTACATTTTGGAAGCTTTTAAAAAATTACTTACAATGCAATGTGTTTCAATGAGTGATTGAGTAGGTATGTGTCCAGTTGCTGAATCAGCATAGCGACATTCATCTTTATTTCATGCTCAGGACCAACACCCATGGTCATTTTCTCCAGAATTGTTAATTGATTAAAGCTCTCTCCTTTTGCTGTACCATAATCCAAGCCCAGAATTTTTGCTACAGGGTCTCTGTTAGCTGAGAAAAGTAAGAAAATAGGTTAAAAAAATCATTCTCTTGCCTTCTTTTAAGCCAAAATAATATTAAGCTAAAATAAAGATTAATGAAGCCTCCAAAGTACACTCAGATATGGTACTTTCATTATGATTTCTCTGAGTAACCCAACTAGGGTTCATCTCCTCCATTCATGAGATTTTTCTAAAGAACTCTTTTTTTTAAAAAAATTTA